AGGCTCTGGGGTGACTCGGGGTCACTGGCGGCGGGGCTCTCCACCCTTAGGTCTGTTGATCATTGTAATGGGACCGCGGCACAGAAATTCGGAGTTCAACTCCGACTACCAGTCAAGTAAAGTAAGTCGACATCGGCTTTAGATAAGCGTGTGAACCCGGTGGCTGGACGTAAGTCTCGTCATAAGTTCGTCAGAACTTTGTCGTTTTCATCGAATTGTCATCATTTCAGTAAAATTGACTATATTTTAGAGAAAATGTCCCAGTTTAGCAAGCATTCCGGTAAAGCTGAAATGCAGAAGAATGCAGGGAACAAGAAAACGGAAGTCACCATGTTAAACCATAGCGATTTCCGGTTTCTTCTGCTTTTCAGCTTTACCGGAATGCTATATTTTGCAGAGGGGGCCGGTGCGCGCTCCCACACAGGTACCAACCTGACATGCGAAACGAGTGTATTTTTCGCTCCTTTTGGTCACAGCAGCACATCATTCTCGACTATAAAGTAAACAGTTTATAAGTATTCAAACGTTTCTACACATTAAACAGGAGAAACCCGATGCAAACTTCAGCGAAAAAATAGTTCCGTGTCTGTGCCGGAATGTTGGTGGCAAAAGCAGCCTACTCTGCCGGACAAGAACGCTCGTCTGCTTGTCAGCCATCTTGCTGCCGTGCCGACTGTCAAGTCTTAGGCCTTGCCTTGTGAGAAGGAATATAATTGAAGAAACGGATATTACCTCCTTAAATTTCTACATCCTACTTCATAAAACAGGTACGTAGTATTACTCAGTAAACCGTGTGATGCAAGAACTCTGAAATAGTTTGATTACACACGTATTTTCATGCAGTACCCTCCTGGCCTATCTGGGTACTCTAGGCTGTAGGCTCCTTTCTGAAGTGTAAACAATGTTTTGCATTCGGATCACATTAGTCCTCCTAGTTTAAATTATTCTCTTATTATTCGAAATGCACCGGAGGCAATTATTTATCTTCAAACCAAAGAGCCAACCAATTTTTTTTTTTCAAGTTTGGAATCATAACCTAATGTACTGTTTGTTTACATTATGATAGACATGCAAACCTGTTGACATGGTAGGCTGCTGCAATGATAATAACTTTTAATCAAAGCTTATAGTGCACCACTGTTTTAAACAGTATTGTATACTTGATGTAAAATGATAGAATAGATATTTGTGATTGTAAAGGCATTTTGCTATGTGGAAGGTTGATCCGAACTTGTGCCGTTTCTTGTTTGACATCTATTTACAACCTTAGGCTTGTGCATTACTTCAGATCACCTACTGCTTTTATTTCTTTCTATTATGAAATTTGTTATTCTAAATATCATTGTTTACATCTTTTATGATGATTGTCTTTCTTTTTTTATAGTTGCTGTGATCCTGGCCAATCCCTTTGAAGTTTTATTTCTGATACGTCACCCAGCAAGCATAACTGCTATTAAAATATGCAGTGCATGGTGAGTCTGCATTGAAACTTGTATTCTTTATTCTATATGAAATTGTTTCTTAGTATTATGAATACTAAAACATGTGTTTTATTTTATTACCTTACTTCAGTGCTGGATTTGAACACAAAGGAACTCCGAACACTTTCCGT